GACATCAAATACAAATAGGCAGTATGGATTTTGTACGGTGCACGTGAAATGATTTTTGCACCGCGTTGAACGATCGTTTCTCGGTTATAATTGTGGCTGCACGCGAAGACATTTGCATCGCGAATTATTCTATGAGAGTCGACGGTCCCAAAGCGCACGAGGAAGCAGCACGGAGCCAAATAGATCTGTAATTTGTTTTTCGTCGGTCGAAATTAGAATTTCATTGCTCCGTGGCCCCATCTGCAGCAGTGTACCAGCTCGTTTCGCGTCGAAACTTTTTGCAATCAAATTTTGGAACACGCCCGCGTTGCATAATCTTCTGACCAGTGAAACGCTGCAGTTTCTAGCAAGCATAACATCTCGGACCCGTTCAAACTTTCGTGCAATCCTTTCGCTTCCGAAACTTCGATTTTTATTCGACCGACACTTCCTTTTGCCCTCGTAATATTCGATTAGCTCTGTCGTTCGGCTGCCGCTTATTAAGTATACAACTTCCTTTATTAACATTTTCGTGGACGTTTCGCGAGGTTTACTAGTTCTGCAAATTTTTTAATCCGGAAATGTTGGTTCGGTTAATAGGTCTGGAACATGCACTTATCGCGAAGGGTACCAGATAATTTTCTCGCTGAGAGTAGGGGAGAGCAAAATATCTCCATCGAACAGACAATGAGAGTCACAAATCCCTGGAGAGTCGCGATCCCATCCTGTAGGATATCATCGAGCTCATGGAGAACCCTTGGTGGTGTGCTAGAGTGCCCTACCGCTAGTTAGAAGGCAGTTTACTCGAAGATAAAGCTCATCCATTTTCAGAAACACGGCATATCTATCTTGCTCCTGGAATTAACTCTCTCCAAAGTGTCTTTTTATTACGCTCCGTAATACTCTGTGTTTGTTTGTTCTCTGTTTTTTCTCATCGAGTTCTATCTTTACCTTACAATATTTACGCTACCATTTTCCCTTCGTGTACTCTACTAGTTCTCGTCTGCGGTGCTCTCATATTATATTAATGTGTCCTAATAGTGGTTAACATTATCTTTTTTAACAAGTTTTAAGTACTTTCATACTTGAAATATTCCTGTTATCTTTCTTACAGAAAGCGTATTCGTAGCTGCTATCGAATTTTAAATTCTGTAGAACCTTCTGTACCTCTGTCTCTAAAATCACTGATTCTACTACTTGATTTCTCAGCCTAGCAAAGTTTTAAGTTTCTTTTCATTTATTATTCGATTGCATTTATTGGATTTCTCGTCGATAATTCGACGCGTATAAAGTGCTTTTTTCTTCCGTATTCTGCAAAAGATTCGCAGCAGGCAATTTCCTGATCTTTCAATAAATTCTGGGTCACGTTTCCCTTGCTCCGGTTGTTTCGCCTACCTGTATCGCCAGTGATTGATGGTCCTGTCAACGTGATCTATCGCGTTAATCACCAGACACCCGTTACCCTTCTATTTTTTGTACTTTCAGCGAGTCGTTAAACAGGGTGGCCGCTGTGATATTCAATGACCCTGTTGTTGCTGTCTTAATTTTCTCGTTCTCCGCTTGATTCACTGTTCCGTCATATTTTACCGAACCACGATACGTCCACCAGGAGCTCAATGAATTCGATCGGTCCGACGTTATCGACGAATTTATCATCCAATACTGCAAATCACCTCCTAACCACCAACTTTGTTCGCTATACCGTTATAAATCAATATTTATGGACATTAATCAACGCTAGTTATCAGCTTCACTCAGGTTTCTTCCCTCGTACTCTCGTTATTTCTTAACCATTGGCAACAAAATTTTATAATATAAAATGTGAAATCTGGAACCAGTTATTTTAGCTGTCTGGCTAGCTTTGGCTGTCGTAGCGTTATTACAGGGTGAGAGAAAATCTGAATAACTTGCTCGACACCAAATAATCTTGCCTGATGCAACGCTTTTCCAAATCCCCGAGTAGCTAGATATCCGAAGTTCGCGATACCCTACGAGCAAATGATTAAATTTGAACGAAAGCGTTGGGAAAAATCGAAGGAAATAGCAGGCTGGCAAAACACGCGCGAGGCAGTTGGCTAAGAGACGAACGAAACTGGTTGTCGTTTTTCAGCGTTTCACGTCGGTGAAAATCGTTCTCGCGAGGCGATGCATCGAGCGCTCGTTTCGCGCACACGCACGCGTGTGTACGTGTGTCGTGCAAATTATTACCTCGAGGACGTGTCAGGAACACTCTTCACTCTCGCTCGAGCTTCTATCGAGTGGCTGTCGACCTGGCGCGATCGAATCCGGATCGAACGTCACCCCTCTGCATAATCCGCGTCCCAGGAAAAACCACTTTATAGCCACTCTAGATTTAGCTGAAGGATTCTTCGAGTAAACCGATCGTGGACCTTCCTATCGTTGCATTTTATTATTATCTATCTGCTCCTTGATGTAACTCTTAGATAAACGTCGCTTCGACGTGACATCGATTCAGAGATACCCGTATGCTTTATTGCTTAACGGATTACCGATCGGGCATTTCGATTCGACGCCTTCTTTTAATATAGCGGTGAATATGTTTGGATTCTCTCGCGTTTATGCAAGCTGGGATAATATACGTGGCGCGGAAATCTCTAGATTCGAGGATAAAAGAAATTGCGAGAGTAAAGATGTCAGGTAACGAGTGGTGGTGTTGCGGATAAGGCAGACGACTGCAACGTGGAACACCGGAGTTCAATTCCCCGATGCGGGATTTCCTTCATTTTTCATGGATTTTATGAAAATGCACTGAAAAAGTAATATCCGGCATAAACTAATTATGAGAATACCCTCGAGTACGCTTTCACAAATCACGTATTCGAAATTACGAGTTAAATTTCTATTTAATAATAAAACTATAAAATATTGTAAACCGAGTGTATTTCGAGGTATTAAAGTACCAGTTAAAGATACTGTTCTAACGGAGAACGTGGGATAGAGACCTATAACGCGAGTCGAGGTTTGAAATAATAGACGCTAGAATAGAAGCAGATTACGTAAGTAGCCGCATTAAGGTAAAGAGAGGTATAGTTGACGAAGGAAAAATGGGCCGACGAAAGTGTAAAGGTCGAGATAGGAAACAAACGACACAGTGATTTTTTTCGTCACAACGATCACACGAGCTATTATTTCGCGATGCATCGATCAGGAAGCCTTTACGGTCAACCGACGACGACCAACCCTGCGTCAATGGGTCACAATTACGATTTTCCGCGACCTATTATCGCAAACGGAGTGTAAAGAAAACCACGAGCTTGCACCCTGCAATTTCGTTCGATCCGTAACGAAATTCCGTGGGTGGATTGTTTTTTTAACTCTTCAGAAGGTTTTCGCGGTGTCGATTAATCGATAGCTCTCCAATCGGAATAACTGAACTCTGTCTAGCTTTTTCAATTTCCGATAGTATTACCTTCTTCGGTAGCGAAGAGAAGTTTAGCAAAAACAATTAACTTTCGTTTAATTCGTAAATGTAGCGTAGGATTTCTGTGTTTCCCGAGGTTGGACTTCCGTGGAAAATGTGTCCGAGAATCATCGTCCCTAGTTGTCATGGTAAACAGCTATTTCCTCTAAGTAAACTCGGACCTTCGATATCACAGCCGCATAAACATCCTGCGAAACAGCCACGCTTCCTGATGGCTTCCCTTTTCTCTCTTCTTCGTTACACTTTGCTCTCCTCAATTTTATCACAATGCGTGTAAACCACCCTAGCGTTGAATTACAAGGTGCTTGTTGAATACATTTAAAAGTGTGCTCTTTGTACACCAACTTTATGAGGGTAAATATCGTACCGTGCTACGCAACAGCAAAACCACTGTTCTAGCAAAAGTTCGCCACAAACTTCAATTTGAGTATCTGCTCTGCATTTCCTTTTATTTTACACTTTAACGCGATAATTCTGCTTCGCGTAAATGAATACATTGTGAAAATGCTAAGCGTGCAAGTATTTTATTATATCCTCGTATATGTTTATCAAACGTTTACGCTTATCTGGATTAATTAATCTTCTCGATGTGTTGTGCGAAATTCACCCAAGTAAATTTTGCATAATTTTTCTTTTCTCTATCATTTCTTTCGTATGACAATTTTTTCTCACGCGAAGATAATTTTGTTGCACGTCATCAAAAAATTTGTCGCACGAATTATGAATATAATTTTACCTTGTAACGCGACATTTTGTCGCGAAAAAATTAGTCGACGACAGCAACTGTTCCGAAGGCGAGAAGACATAAACGGAAGAGCCCTGTATAAACGTGTTTTGTATCCAAAGGATTAAGAACGGAAAGAAGGTGTCGCGAACGAGAAACGTATTCAAGGCTCGAATTTAAAGGACAAACACACTCCGGGGGGGAATCCACGATTTCCATTTCCGGCGGGAGCCTTTTTTGCAATAAAAGTCTTCTCTGCCACGGCGCGTTCAACGTTCGCGGTGTTGTATGTGTTCCACTAACTCGCTACCTGTCCACACGCAAAAACCCGTGGGAAGATCTTTTTCGTGAGGCGAATGCCTCAGGTAAAATCCTCCGGACTCTTCTCCTTTGACGACAGTGAAAGATCGTCTAACATCTTTCTTTGTCGGGATAGTTAATTAACGCTGCTGCAATCCTCGATCGAGGTCATTTATCACGATAAAATACTTATTCTTAAACGGTCGAGAAATTAATTTCTAGATTGATCAAATATTCACGTGATATATTTTCTCGTTAATTGTTCCGACAGTATTTGAAGAACATAATCAAAAAGCTGAGAAAGGGTGTTTTCTAATGCACTACCGTAACACACCATAGTGTAAAGAATCCGAATTGGTAGGAAATAAAATTGAAAGTTCGATAAATTTCGTGGAGTGTAAGGCGAAGGTAAGCGGAACACATCGCGTTGACAAACATAACTTTGGCGTGCCAGATGCAGCGTCTCTGGAAACCACTTTCGGATATTTTCTCCCCTTTGGGTAAACGGCGAGAAGCGGTCCATTCTTTCGAGAGGTACTCGATACGGTGACTTACCTGTCGGTGGCACGAACGCGAACAGCACCTTCCAGAATATCGTGACCGAATGCATAAGATAGTCCATTGTGGATGGCGCGGCTGCTTCGGCTGCTCCTTCGCCTTCGTCCTCGTCGCCGCCGCTCACCGTCAACGCTTCCGTAAATTGTTCTTTCCAGGAACTGGTTCCTGTCGATTAACGCGTTCGATACTGTGAGTCGGTGTAAATTACGATTAACCCCTTGCACTCGATTCTGACGGGACAACGCCAAAAGACTGTGAGCGCAAAAGGTTAAGGTTATTAAGGTTTAAAAGGATAATTTGGAACTTCTTCATTGTTAACCCCTTGACCTACAATATCACACTTGGAATATGATAAACCAGACTCGTATGTCAGCTACAATTAAATTTTGGGTTCTATTTTAATCATAGTCGGTATAAGCAAAGATCGCTGAAGACAAAGTGTGACATTCTAACTTTCGTTAGTAGCTTTAACGTTGTAGCAATAATTAGCTAGGTGTGAATGAAGCAACTGCGTAGAAAATTGTAGGTTAAGGTGTTAAGAATGACGAAGGAAGAAGGAATATGGAAATGAGAAGAACGCGGGAGTATTAATACGAGTATGAAAACTTAAACTGAAAGCTTATGAAGGAGCTTGGATGTTAAGTTCGAGTTTATTCCAATAGCGATGGAAGTTTGAAAAATTCCGAAATTTCAAAGTTGCACGGTATAATTACCTCGAGATTCTGAATTCCTAAAGTTTCAAAGTGGAATACAAATTTTGCGCTATCGTTTCAGGGGTGCTCCGAACTTATAATCCTCAAAGGATTTAAAATAATCCCATTACGCTGACTGAATGTTAAATAACCCTTGTTAACGATTCCCCATATAGGAAGCGACGAGGAGACCCGTGTCTAACTCGAAAGCAATTCCCATCACGAAATTGTGCCGGAGTATCTTGTTCAATTAACGAAGATGTCCTCCGCTCGACGGATCCATTCGTGATATATTGGCCATCGATAAATCAATCGAGCGGTCCGCATTGTAAAACGCGAAAAGATCGAATTCGAGATACCGTTTTACCGTCCGACCACGATCCGTTAATCAAATCGTTTTCGGCGAAATTCATCCTTTGAGGAAAATTAACGGAACGTCTCTATTTGTCGGCGATTCGCGCGAAAGGATGTACGCGGATCGCTTTATCAATGCGGCGAGAAGGCGTGTCTTCGGCTGCTTCAGACGATTTCTTTCCACAAAAGGAAGGACGAAACGCGGAATGCAAAACGAGCCGTCGAACAAAAGGAGCCACGAAGCGATAGAAGCGTCGTCGATTTACAGAGTTCGTTTGAACTTTCGTCGCAGTCGGATTCACAATTCCAGACTTTCCGCTCGAACTCGATGCCCTCTCGGGAACGAAACTTTGGAATTTGATATCATAAAGGACACTGATCTCGAACCCGATATTAACTTCGACGTAAACTATTCTGTCTCGTCGGGATTTATTTTGTAGGCTGCCGGGTGCGTAATGACCGATCTCGAGATACATAGTTTCACCATTATTATAGAGCATCGATATTTTTTACCTTTTTTAGTTTCGGTGAGTCTACCATGTCAAACATAAACAAGACAATCTTGTTTATGGCACGCATAATTGGAAATTAAATCGTAAGGCAAATAATGGCTGATCTCGAGAAGCGAAGTTATGATCGATAAAGGTTTAAGATGAGAGAGAAATATTCGGATTCTGGAGGAGTAGGAAAATCCGTGAAAACGAAAGAGTTGATCTGGAAAAAGGTCGACTCACCGAGTAATATAGAGGCGTTGGCCCTTTGAACCAGCTTGTCTACCGTGTTCTTGAACTCTTTTGACTCTTTGATCCTTATCTGTGCTCTGGACACTTCGCCCAACTTCGGTTTACCCAGTAACGCCATCTTCTCTTCAGCCGTCCTCTCTTCCGGCTGCTTCATTTCCGCTGCGACTGCGATCCCTGCTTCAGCTGTCGACAAAAAATCGTGTTTTACTATTTAAACGGTTCGTCTTGTGTTCTTCCGGCTTAATCTCCTCCAACGTCCGGCATATGGTCAGAACGCAGATGACGAAACTGTTAATTAACGTCTCGCAATATCTACATATACTATTTACAAATTTACAATCGTAAAACTGTTTCGATCCAGACCTTCGTATCAATCTTAACTTAATACCTATTATCGTGTTTATATTTAATAACTAATAGAAGAGAAAATAATATCGAGAAGCAGTCTTTCCACCTATATACCACTAAACTACCGTATTAACTACAATTATTAATAATAAGCGTACCGATAGCTTACGTGAAACTAATCGCTCTGACTCGATGCTGAACGTTGTCCACAGGAGTTCTACGTACAAATTACCACGAAAAAATACAAGTAGTATTCCTACACCCCGAAAAAGGACGAATAAAAAAATCATGAAAGTCAAAGGTTTCCGTTTTTAATGTGAAATGGAAGAAAAGCCAGCTGCGACGAAGAAAATAGACTCGAATTAGGGGGACAGAATAGTAGCGGTCGATCCGCTTTATAAATTATATCCGTGTAAAACACACCAGACTCGCATGCTAATTCCGTGTCCCGACGTCTGACCATATATCGGCTTCTACTACTTGCGTGACATTTTTACGCCGTATAGCGCTACCGATATACCACGTTTGTCTACCTACGTTCAATTCTTCCTACGAATACACACCGTACATTTATGCAACAATTTTTATTATCAACGTGTTCCTCGCGCAACGACGTAGAACGTTATTTCGATTTTCGTGGTAGACTTTTTGACGCACGTGCTCGCGTACATAATGCTCATATACATCACATTATAAAATGCATTTACCTTATTTATATTTGTTATTTCTCGAGCCGCGTGCAGGAAGATGTAGAATAGCGCTTTCTTTGCGATAGAAGATAAATTCTTGATACGAATATACGCGAGTACAGTTATTTTACATTGCGGTATGCGTTTATTTATTTATTATTATCGAGTTCGCCTATGGTTTCTTTTACTTTCTACTCGAGCTTCGTGCACGAAACAGAACACGTAGAATATTCTAGTCAGAACATTATCTTGGTTTTTATAAAATATTACTTCGAGGAAACGTTATAAAAATTGATAGACGTATACGTGTTATTTTATTAATTTTAGAAGCTGTTAAAGTCTCGTTTAGATGCGAACATCGAAAATTGACGAAAGCCCATCGGCGTTTAGATAAGATATTAAACGCGGTTGTAAACTCGAAAAAAGAACGAAAGGCGACCTCGTTGAATCGGAAAAATTTCAATGGATTGTAACAATATTTACAACCTCTAATAACCCGTGTGTAAGTTCGTTGGCTCCGAGCAGTAACGACAATCGTTCCAGAAACACGAGAAAACAAAAGTTGAGTAAACTTCGCGATTTTACGGCCACTTTTTCCTGGAAAGCTTCCCAGGGGGTTCGGGCAAAGTCTTTCTTTTTGTATCGAATCGTTTTATCCTCCGCCGATTTTTTACACGATTTTTGCAACCTTTACATAGCTGCTCCTGCTTTTATCGTTGCGAATCGATAAATTTCAATCAGATTATTCGGATTGTTTCGTTATAAAATTCCTCGTTCGAAAAACAATGTTCGGAAGAAAGAATTCTTGATGGACACGTCCATTTCCCTGGCAGCATTTTCCATAAAGACTTTCCCCCGAGCAGTCTGTTATTCCGACACGAAGAATGTATGTTTTCCCAGCGTAACATTATTCCGTTTGCAACGCTTTTTAGCTTACTCTCGCATTTCTGTCTCGCGAGCTTCTTATCCGTCGGAAAGCTCGTATTGCGAGAAAACCTGCTCCCAGACAAATCCGATATCGTGACCCAAGCCTGTCGTGCTTTCGGTCAGATTCAATTTTCTTTTGTTCCCTGTGGTATTTTATCTATGGTGACCGTGCTCGCTACGAATTGGAAAAAGATTATCCTGGGACACAAATACCGATGCGAGACTCTCCAACAGCTTTCGATAACCGAACAATTTTATGACTTTTCGAAACACGTGTACGCTTCCATATTAGTTACATTTACCGATCGGAAACGTTCATTGAAAAATCTACGTATTTACGAAAGCTCGAAATCGATTTGGATATTTATATATACGGAACGTGGTAGAATAAAATTTAACAGAAAAATCGATGTTCGGAAAGTTGCCCGAATGGAAGTATTTTAGAGCAGCTGCCTGGAGGAGGAGAAAAAGGAAAGACTAAAATATCCAGTCTCCATCCAATCTTAAGGTTAAACCGGGAATTCGCGATGATCTCGCGGAATCACCGTCAATTTAACAGAAGGTCCGTTCGCGGCCGAGCTGGGATTACATTATTTTTTCCCCGGATATCCTGGTAACGTCGTTTCAGCGGCGGTATCTCGGCTTTCCTAGAAACGAGCCGGCACTGGCCGTAATTGCGAAACGACGGAATCCCTGCCGCACCCTGATTCCAACCCCCTTAATCTCTCGGTTCATTCTCTTCGTTTTTAATCGCGACGTTTAATGAGAATCGCGGTAAATCTCTAAATTGAGGCAGCTAGTCGATCGATGAAACGCCGAGAAGAGGGTGGTTTTTATCGACCCCGTCGCAGCGAAGAAATCGATGACCTTGGGAAAGGTGGACGATTAAAGGATTAATCGTCTTTGAAGCTTGCAATTTCATCGCACGTAAACTCGGAGGAAAATTCGTTGGGAAACGTACAGGAAGCTTTGTGAATACACATGGTTTCCCTGCAGCCCTTTGAGACGTTTAAAAGGTTACAGTGCACCTGCTCTTTGAATAGCCAGCCCTCTGCCTACCTCGCTTCTAAGTGGATTACGGGATTTAACGCGAACGGTGCTTGAGCTTACGAGATTCGGATTGATCTTTCTATTTTTGGACGCGGAATTCTTTCGAAAATTAAACGCGATTCGACCAGCAAATATTTACCGTTCGCCACATGTTTCCGATTGTCCAACATCTCGCTTTTCGATTCGCGATATTCGGAGAAACGCTTCAAATATTTACGACGCTAAAATTGAAGCTATCGGTTCGATTCAATCAATAATTTCGACGCGAAGATCTTCGCGAGATATCGTACACCTCTATTACCGTGGTAAACGGTGTTTGCATGACGTTATCTCCGCTCTTTGCATGTACGCGTTTAATTTCAATCGAAACGAAACGGATTAAACGCAGCGACACGCTCGAATTTCCCTGAATCGAAATTGAACCGGCCTCGAATTCGGCTCGTTTCGACTTATTAATTTCGCGATTTGACTAACGCCCCACGGTTAACAGTTAGTTGCTCGTACTATAATCCGCGATAACGGTTAAATTGGATCACGGTAACATTATATTTTTACGAGCTTAATTACGTCGCGAAAATTGTGACCGAAATGTTCCGATCTAGAATTTGAACGTTCGCGCGTCGTCCCGATACTCTAACATTCGGTATCCGAACCGGATGTCCTGGTAAATTAATTAGCGAGTTTGCGCGAAAAGTGCGGGGCGTTTAAGGCGGCCTGATCGAAGTAGCTTGTATAATTGAAAGGAACCAAGGGGAACGCGTGTTCGCGCCGCGAACTCTGCCTTTCACCGCGCCGCCACTGTAACTAATTATCCACGGTGTAGCGGTTAGGTTTCACGATGCATCTAATGCGTTTACCTGCACACGCGCACTATTCTATACTTTACACATAACCGTTCGGCCGCCTCAGAAATTCGACTACCGTTGTTACTCGTGATTAATGGCAAACCTCCTGAAAACCGCGCGTCTAGACGCGTAAATTGGATCGTTAAATGTTCCATGCGTCTCGACTGGTAATTCGAAAACCGCTCGAATCAACTTTCATCGAACTTTGCTGCAGGCATTTCGCCACCTCGACTATTAACATTTACAACACTTATGGGGATGCTATTAATCTTGGTCATATAGCGCTTAGTATCGTTGCTTCTTTCGTATCGATATGACTGTGGCACTGTATTTCGTAAGATGCACTTAATGCGTCATCATACGCACGCCACGAGAATTATAGTAATTGCGAGTTTCTTTGTCTCTCGATTGAGTGGCTGTAATCGATCGCTGCTGTCGAAACATACAAATCTTCCATTTTAATCGCAATTTCTTTCGGAACAGAACTCGTGCGAAGAGTACATCAAGTTGCGCTACATTATTGGTCATATAACGCTTTTAAGTACGTGATCATAGAATGCATGACGAAACAACGATTCGGCGTATAAAACACAGCGATACGACGCCTTAACACGCGATTCGTAATAATATAATATGGTATACGATAACTCGCGATAATTCCTTTAAGTAGTTCTAAGAAGGTCGAGGGAGTTTTTTATTTAAAAACACGAATTGTTATTTATACGTTGTTCGCGTAATCAAATTGATTCAGCGTCGAGTATAGAGAGTCTATTTACGATAGACACACTCGATTAATAAGTTCTTCCAGCCATGGCTTATCGTCGAGTGCTTTCTGATCGATAGAGGTTGACTGCGTCGAAATCCCACAGGAAGGATCACTCATAGTAAGCTGGCCACGACGTTCGAGATTCGATCATCGAAACGATCTCTTCTTTTGTGACGGTGCGACTCGTCAAAGAGGAATTCAATAAAATGGTAATAAAAACAATTCCGTCGAGAGCCCTTTCTCCGTCTCTGTCGGAGATATCAATTTTTCTCTATCGCCGCGTCGATTATACTTCTTCTGACAATTGGAAAATCGACTTTTTCATTGTTCGCTGGCCACAGAGCGAGAGTTTTGCTTTCGAAAATAAAATCCGCCGTGTATTAGATAAATTGTTGGTCGATCGCGTATGCGTAGAACCGAGCGGTTAGCCGGGAATCGGATGATTAATTATTCGATGATCGATTTCGTAAACGGAGCTCGTCAAATTGGACCGGCGAGGATAAAAATAACTTTTTAATAGGGAAGCTTTAATGAACGGTGAATAAGAAAGTGGGCGGC